TTCTTACCCAACTCCCAGAAAGAAAGCTTGATGTCTGCATCTTGACCCTTCACTTGATGGAAGATCAAGGGGGTCACATTGCTCCAGATGGAAACTGCTTCATGAATAATGTCATTCACTATAGCTGGATTAACTTCTTTGGGGTAATTGATAATACTGAAAGAAGAAACTTTTAAGTGAAATAGTTTAAAGGTAGAGGAATTATTCTAAAAAAGAATGACTCTCCTTTGGGGCAAATCACTGAATATGTTGGGGCCTCATTTTGCTCATCTGTAAAATAGATAAATCCTAGACTAATTGAATCAGAAACCCGAGTAATTAAATCTGCAAAACATGGGTTTCTGGGGATTTTAATAAATTCCCCACATTATTATTTTTATTTTTTATTTATCCTCACCAGAGGATTTTTTCCCTTTTTAAAAAATTTATTTTATTATTATTTTTTATTTTTTTAGAGAGAGTGGAAAGGAGGGAAGGAAGAAAGAGAGAGAAACATCCATGTGAGAATATGAAAGAGACACATTGATTGGTTGCCTCCTACACATGCCCCAACTTGGGACAGGAATCGAATCTATAACCCAGGTACCCAGGTACGTGCCCTTGCCTGGAATCCAACCCTCGACCCGTCAATGCATGAGTCATCACTCTCACCACAGTGAACACTGGTTAGGACCCCACATTATTCTTATATAAATGAAATTCTGAGAACTACAGCCCTTAAAAGGTGATTGCAAGAAAAATAATTGTGAACTCAATTGTAATGTACACCATTTTATATGGTTTAGCATTGCTTTGCTTTGGATGTATCCCTAATAAAGTAACCTACATGGGGAGCAAAAATATATCAGAAGTGTACACAATAAACACCCCACCCCCATACATACACATAAAGACAGGGGGAAAAAATAATAGATTTAACTAAAGTGCTAATAGTGAGTGGGATCATGGCGAAAGGATAGCAATTAGGCTCCATTTCCTAAAGAGATTATCTGAATAAACTAGAATGAGAACAGGGAGAACCACCTTCTCTAAGGGAGATTTGGGCTGAGGAGAGAGAGAAAACAGAAGACAGTAGAGATGACTCCAGGTGGGCCATTGTAGGAAGTCCTTTGAAGTAATCACCCCATTTATCCCTCCAGGCCTAACAATAAGCACCTATAGGTCAGATTGTGCTTATTCCATTTGGAATTTTCTGGGGAGACAGAGCAGTTAGCCACATCAGTGATTCCACAGCGAGGGTGGTGGAGCTTAGCCAGCATCTGCTCATCCTGTGGGTCTGTCTTGTGAACAACAGACTGTGGAAACTGTATCTCTTTCCCCCGGGTAAGGAGTGGCCACTCTTTCTTGGTCAGGGAACACCAACGGAAATTGTCCTGGGTGAGAAACAGGGAATGGATGAGTACTTGGAGACCAGCAAGGCAGAAACAATATCAGCACCCCAGGGCAAAGCCTCATTTGAGGGCCTGGGAAGGATGGTGCTTTGTAAACCTCCTGTTCCCAGTCAAATGATGACCACTAACCCTGATTCTCCTGTCACTAGGGAGAAGAAATATTAAACACAGGTGATAAAATAAGAGTTATTTAGATAACCTGTTTAAAAATCTCTAAAAATAAAGCATCTGAGTTTCTGGATAGAAAGCACCAAGAATAAAGGTCTTGAAGGTATTAGATAGGAATTGCCCAGGAAGATGGCCTCTGGTCTTTCTGATTGATTGAGGTTTTCTTAGGACAGAATCTTTGACTTCTCAGACATAGAGTTTGACTGATTCTGTATACCCGGTCCATTGGCATTTATACATTGCCTTTCATTATCATCTACTCCCTGTTTCTATTGACTGCCCTACAAGGCCAATCTACTGAATTTTAATTTCCTGGAGAAAAAGCCAGAACTTTGCATTATAGTCAATATTCTTGTCTGTATTTTTTAACCATAGCTGAACTGAAAGTACTTTAAGGGCAATGTTCATGTCTAATACAACTCAGTCTACACA